AGGCGGTAGGAACAGCAAATTTAGGGAAAAAGTTAAATAACGTACCAAGGCGAAACCAAGGAATACATTGTTTTCGTCGTAAGGTTTGCCTTCACCGTATCTATCACGGTGAGCTTGGTCAGCTTTAAACAATTCGACACCGACCATAATCAGGCTTGTAGTACTAGCGATGAGAAGTATGGTCATAAGGACATGTACAGCTATAACCTGCAAGAAAAGAACAGGTGTTTTTGACTGGTTAGAACAGAAAAAGATTAGTTTTAAACATTCCATTGCCAGTAACAACAATGGAAGAGCAACAACATGTCGTCTGTCGCCCACACGTCAAAATTACAGCCTCACAACCTCGTTCCTGAGAGGGAAAAGCCTGAGAAAGAGTCAGACATCTTGAGTACAAGGCAATATATCTGGCGGTATTTTGTGCAACTGAGATAGTCAAGAATTCAGTCTTCAACAGTTCTTTAATTAGTGTTGATAGTCTGTAGTTAAATATACGAGAGCCTTTTTAGGTAATAACTTAGCTGGCCAAATATTCCTTCAAAGTTATAAGCTGCTATGTTTTTGTCCCCCCCCCTTTGATGGCCATTTCCCAGTAAAGATGGTGCTAAATGTCCCTTTACCCGATCAGTGAAATAAAATACCACTCTGAGTTCCAAAAGTCAAGAGTGCAAAACCCTTCTTGTGAAAATGATTTGTATCGGAAGCACAAAAATGAGGCTGCTTTTTTGTCCCAGCACCTTTCAGAAGCCTCACACGAACACCGACCCGATTTCAGAGAGTCTTTGGGCATCTTGAAAACGGCCATGTATTCGTATCACATTCATGAATTATCAGAATGAATTAGTTGCAATACTCACTATCAATGTGGAATTTGATGGTGTCCTGAAGTATCGCCGGTCTTTGTGGATGCCAAACATTAACACAATTTGGAGGACTATCACCATTACCCAACAAAATGTAGAGACTCCTGCAAAGAACGTTGCTCGACCATCCACACCGAAAGTACGGTTTGAGTAAACAACACCACATGGCCAGGCGATTAACAAGGCGATCTGTGTAAGAGGACAAGGTAAGCTTGTGATCAATGATTATGACCATCACTATTTGATTGTTGGTACAAAGCTGGAGAAGGGCAAGAGAGCATCACAAGTGGTGTTCCAACGAGGCTTCCTAATGAATTCGAACTTAGAAAGAGGGTATCCCGATGCGCCACATGAACCTATAAAGACCCATGCGATACTCATCAACATTACATTTGTAGGTCAAATTCATTTCATTGCATACATCATTAAGGAAAAAACTATCGAAACATTTAATTTCTAAAAATGTTAGGAAGTGATGAATTTAAAAGTTTGGAAATAAAAGAACAATTTGTTGGCCAAGAATACTAAGAAGGCACAGCATCTACACATAGAAATCCAAATATGATATTACTTGGATCGAGCAAAGTTTTAAATCGAAAAAACCCCTGCTGATCCGATATCATTCGTTAAAACCCCTCCATATCCTTTAACTGCTTACAAACTCAACAAGTCTCGAGGCGCTCAGCAAAGTTTTCATGTAGGTTCTGTCGAGCCGCCCTTCCCTAGGTTGATTCACTGGAGGCTGCATAGGGACACCAGGGCCTGGAACGGATTGGGCAGGTTGTCTAGTGGGGTCATGGACAGGTTGTCCTGTGAGAACATGGACAGGGTGTTCAGTGGGGACATGGACAGGTTGTCCAGGGATATGGCCTTGTCCCATTGGAAACTGTGCTCCAGACACTGTCCTTGGCTGATCAGGATATATCTTCTGCATGACTGTCTAACTGGTCCGTCCTTGAGTCTAACGTTTGACTTCTCACCTGTAGATGTTGAAATAACGAATTATTGCCTGAACTAAGCTAACGTTTGCCGTGGTCACGTGACTCTGTTTTGTCTATGAACTCTATTAACACTCTCAAAAGATATTTAAATATCAATATTACATTAGTTGATTCAATGGTAGAAAAAAGATGTTTAAGCTTTTCGAATCAAATAGCCAGAAAAGCAATTTACATTTTATTATCAATTGTTTCCTTGAAGATTCTATCAAACAGGAGTCAAATTTCTAATTATCTTTAAGATACTCAGGTTACCATGGGGACACTTCAGACCCTCGGTATCACCCTTTGCCGCTGAGGTTTTGTTTATTAAATCATATTAACTTGCGTTCTATGTTGGAAAAATGACTAGGTTGGATGGAAACTGTGACTTTATATGATACCATTATTGAGGAAAAACATTTAAAAGGATATGTTTTCTATGAGCCACAAAACTTAAGGTCCTAAAATGTTTATTTGATGATAAAGCCGCATTTGTGCATGTTAAGAATTCAATTTTCGCGCTGTTATTAAAATTTGCGGAAAGATTTCAGTTTCTTGCTGAATAACGTATATTTCAGTTAAATGTCGCCCTTTTGAGATTATGTTTTGTTGATTACCCCCTTAATAACAGTAGTAATTATATCAAAGTAACCTTCGGGTGAAATCTAAATGGAACGAAGGAAATGTATTTAAGTTCCAAGAAATACTTAAAGCTGTCACAAATGTAATACCTTTTGCTGTTTTACATTTGTTGTTCGAATTAAATTGCTCATTTTGATATCGGTGGGCTCATTTACTGCGAAGATCGCCTCTTGAGGGTGAGACAGAAGCCTGATCTCTAGCTCTAGACCGACTAACTTGCCAACTATGACGAAGCGATGTTCTGAAAAGGGATCAACTGTACTAGACCCGAAATAGTATAATTTTCATTGCACCCGTTTATCCTTGTATCGTATTAACTGCGGAATCTCGCAGCTATGGACATCAAATTGAATGAGGCCACTAAAGGACTCCTTTTTGTACTCCCTAGTTAGATTTTTACAACAACGAGTTGACTTTCTTTTATATGGAGGACGTGGCATGTCTCCCAAGCACGTGATCTTTGAAGCGTGCAAGTATCCGAATTGGAGTAGATTTCGTTTTGGCGGAAAAAATCAGTCAGCATTTCCATCTTCTGTACAAGAAATTCTGCTTCATTGATTTAAGTAACACTCCATTCGTGTCCATCCATAAAATGCAAAACATGTGATTCAGTGTTGAGGAGCATTGTCTCTTTAGCGAGAATCTAAAATTCGAAATTGTAAAGTCGTTTTACAATTTTAATGTTACCAGCACTTGGTTTAAAAACATACCTTCGTTTTCTGAGCGTTTTGAGACCCTTTAAAAATCCTCTTGCTTCAGACACAAACTGTACATTGGCAATAATCGTTATTTCATCGACTCTTTGCGAAGAAACTCGACACTTGAATCACAGGTGGCCCAAGCTCCAGCTGTAAGATGGTCATCTTGACAATAACAGTCATGGCGGAATTAAAAGAGTTTGTATGGGAATATTTACGACCGCTCTGAGGAATGAAAAAAAAAGTCAAATTCTTAATAAAAATATCTGACCTTACTTCCACAGCGTATCACTTGTTATCTGACCGCTTACTTTGATGATAAGAATCCATTTTAGCGAGTTGTACATTTCGAGGTTTCCAACGCACATAAGAAAAGTTGGAAACCACGAAATGGACAACTCGCTAAATTGGATTCATTTTGTCAAAGTAAGCGGTCAGATAACAAGCGATGCGCTACGGAAGTAAGGTGGGGTATGTTTATTGAGAATTTGACGTATTTCTTTATTCCTTAGAGCGGTCGTAAATATTCCCATACAAACTCTTATAATTCCGCC